CAGCCTGGCCAGCATATATCGCGCATTAGTTACAGTGCTGCTCTTCCCTTTGGGATCAAAGCCACATGCGGTTTATTATGACAATAAAAATTTCATCGTTTTAGAATTCAGTTTCCAACCATCCCATTTGTTAAATGAAGCATCAGCATAAAAAGTGAGATAAAAAAAAAAAAAGGAAAAAAAAAAAGCACTCGGACTGCAGACTTCATAGGCGTTCTCAAAAATGTTATTTCAAGTTTGCGTTTCGGAGCCTGCTGCTTCTTGCCTCCATCTGCTGGTGACATTTTGGAAACGCAACAGATGATGCACAAAATCTGTCCTCGGGAGCAGAAATTGACTCTGGAAAGCTTCTAAATCTCATTCAGCGTAGCAAAGCCTGCAGATATGTGAAAAACTAGGCTTAATTTAAAAGTAATCGCTGCATCTGAAAAAGCCCAGTGTAAAACTTGTGTCTGCTAGGTGAGATGATACTACCTGCCATACGGAACTTCATTAGTCAGCCCATGTGATAAATCAAAGCGTAAAGCTCACTCATAGTGAGTTCATCATGTTACAAACAAATAAGCACTGTTGCCCACTCTTCAGAATCCAAATGTCAGAAAAAGGAAACAAAAAACAAGTCGGTACATTGGGTGCTCCAGTATTCCCAGTTTGGCAGAAGCACCAGCTTAGTGTCACGGGCTGTGAGTCCTAATCCTTTCCTGCCCTTGACCCCTGCTGTCTAGATTCAAACTTGTAACCATTAATGGGGCTGGATCAAAACACTGGCCTTCTGGTGTCACCAATGGTGTTTAGAGGGGATTTAAACTCCCTGCTTTTCAGCGCAGTGAAATGAACACAGCAGTAGATTAATGCAAGGATTTGAGCTCACACAGCATGAGAGCTTTCAAAAATAGTGTTAACAGAGCTACAACTGCCTCTTTCAGGGAAAGCAAAATGAGGGGAACAGAACAAATGAACAAACACAGGGCAAAGCCTTGTCGCTATGGGCAGGGCTCCTAAGCCCGGGGAGCCAGGGAGAGGGCCAGTGAGTGCGCTGAGATGTGGGGTCGGAGTTCTCGCAACCCTTCATATTCTGCAGGAACAGGTTCTCAAGCCAGGGCTCGGGTAAAACCGTGCTTTCAGGCTCCACGGCCGCTGTAGGGCTGGCCACAGAAGAGCTGCTCACCCATCCTTCCTGTTCACCTGGGGCCAGGCACCGGTTGAGATTTTGGCAAACTGTAGGCAATGGGCATGAGGCATATTTCTAAGCTTCTTTGTGTGAGAAGGCACAGGGCATAGGGTGGTCAAGCGCTCCTTTGCACATTTCATCCCTTGCCAGTTGCCCATAGGGGGGGCAGGGGAGCTGCTCTTCCTCCAGCTGCCCTGTGCCTGGCTCACGGACCCTACCGCCCATGCTGTATCTCCTCTTCAGACTGCAGCAGGATGTGCTCGAGCCCACAGTAGTGACAGAAAAACATCTAAAGGTTTCCAACTTTCATTTCAAAGATTCCTACTAACCCACCTGGCCCACGAAACCTTCCAGTAACAACCTCAGTCTGGGGCTGAGCCTACACTGCTGAATCCAGTGGGAGTTTTGCCATCAACTTCAATGAGAATAGGATCACACCTCAGTGCTTTGTTTTGCCCGTGTTCGTTCCTTGCCTCGGGCAGGAACCTGTTTGTTTGTTTGCTGCCTGCGCTCCCTGCAAACATCAATAGGACTAGCTAAAAGCATTCAAGCCATCAGATTTGGGGAAGCACTCCAAAGTTTTTTTGCTTATCTGAACCATCCCAGGCACTCAGATTCACACAACTGGGCTGGAAATAACCTCAAGAGAGAAGGTTTTCTCAGGCAGACTCCACAGCTTCCACTCGGGCTGAGCGTGTCCCGGAGGGGGAAACAGCACTTGTGCTTCAGGGAAGAGAGGGGAAGTGCACGGGAGCATGTGAATGGCAAATAGCTTTAAACAAAGAGACTAATTTGCCTTCTTACCAGCAGCCCCATCAAAAACTGACTTGATTTAGTTCATGACTAGGGCAAATAGTCCAACCTTATATGACTAACCTTCTTCGATCCGGACTGGTTTGTATAATCCAGGTGTGAGCCAAGACCTTGGTTCCAGTACGTGGCTGGAGCAGCCCAGAGCCCCTTAGGCAGGCTCTGAGGAGGGGAAAGGGATGCTGCCTCTCCAGCTGGCACAGCTATTGCCCCAAAAACTGGCTCGGCACCCCTCTCCCATGTGTTTGGTATCATGGTGGGATGCTCCCACAGGAAGGTGTCCTCTAACTCCTGCATTTCTGTCTGCTCCAGCCGCAAAAGGCACCAGTGTCACAGGATCACAGCACAGCACAGGTCAATTCTGCCCCACTGGAGTCCGTTAGGGAAACTTTCTATCAAGCCTGAAAGCAACTCAGACTTGGAAATTGCTTATGATGACTAGACTTGTCTTTACTGGAGCTATTTCCATGCTGCCTAGGTCCTGTCCTCTCCCTCCCAGACCTGCCATTGGCACCCTCCGCAGCAGCAGAGGACAGCACTGCTACTCAGACACAATAGAGCTAGGTGGGAGTGACTGCCCAGGGCAGTTCTGGGCACTCACGCATTTGCTGTTGTCTGTACTAGTTTCTTTGCTAGCGTAGCCTTAATGCTTGTGCTTTTAGATTGTACGTCTAGATAGCATCGGGATACCTCATCATCATCACTGAGAGTTTTTGGCCTTGTATGAGCAGATGACTGGCATAAAAAAAAATCCTTGTGATCAGTTTGTCCCACATATGAGCATTTCTTTCCTCCCAGACTACCCTTCCCAACTTGTAGACTACCCAGCCAAGCCTTCAACAACTTAGAGAAGAAAGTGCTTCCTCCAGCTGTCTGCTCTGTGCTTGCTCCCTATCCAAATTAAACTTGCTGGGGACAGCGACACATTCCCATTTCACGCTGGTTTGATTAATGTGTCTCAGCTAATTGTGTGAAGGATTCCAGTCCTTTCGACTGTGAGACCAGGTTATTGTTCAGCCAGTCGCAGCTACCATGTGAAAATGGGGGCTGTTTAGTGTTCATGCACCAGAATCAAAGGAGGGGCATCTTGGACTGGGTCACAGAGTAACACCCACTTCTTTGAAAAGATGTTACTATGCTCTACTAAACCTGTAAACCTCTTGCTCAAAGCACGTCTTCTCCCTCCTCCTTTCCCCCCGCTCTTTTTTCCCCCTTCCAGATAGACAGGCTCCCCCCACCACTCTCTTAGGGTATAAGTGAGAGAGGATGGCTAGATTGTAGATGGGTGGATTTCACATTCTAGGGTTTTTAATATTTCACTTTTATATTTCTCTTAGAGAATGATCCTGCTGAGAGGCTGAGAATCAGTGCTCATCATTTCCCCCTCACTGACACTTGAATATATTTTCCCAAGAGAAAACATTAAACAAAAAGAGAGAGAAAGAGAGAAAGGGGGAGAGAGAGAGGGAGAGGGAGAGTGACTGAGCTAGCTTTTCAAAGCATACTTCTCAACCTGCCCACATCAAAATAAGAGACAACTGGCCCTTTGAAGTCCAGGACACAGACTTCTCTACCAGCCCATGTGGAAATAAAAGAAGCCAGCTTTATAAATCACACAGATTTCTCACCTTGCCCACATCAAAATCAGGGACAGTGACCTTTAAAACTGAGGTTTAAAGGCCCCCAAACCAATCTCCATAAAAATAAGGAGAGTTCAGATAAACTGTGTCTCCAGGTACCTGTCAGCTTTTCCAGTCTAAACCAGGAGACATTGGTCCTTTGCACTGAGGAGTGGAGACTAACTACATTGCCAGCACTTGCAGCAATGAAATCTTCCATCAGCTTAACATATACCCAGCGCTCAGTGAGGCAACTTTGCCACTCATCTACCTTTGTTTGTATCCTAGGCCGATCCCAGTGTTGTTGTAGGTCCTACAACACCACTATCATTAAGTAGCTCAAGGCATTTAGTAACACTGAAGCACAGGATTTTTCATAATGAGAATTACTGACCCAAAAATTAAGTGGCTAGTGGCTCAGAGAAAAAGCTGGCATTCTTGTGAGTTAAATCATACCTGGATTATAGTTGGGGAGCTTGGAAAGTCCTGGCCAGGTGTCCTCAGTTGGGACCCCCAATACCTGTGCAAAAGAAGAAAGAGAGTGAGAAGAGCAGTAACCTCTGTCTGCCAGTACCCTGCCTTGGTGTGGAGCTGGAGGAATCGGTCTCAACGGAGAGAGACTGTGGCCTTTACTGTAAACCAGCACAGATTCACACTGCCCTGGCTGGTGCTGGATCTACCACTGCGCATAAAGGACACTGACATTTTAGCACTTGATTTTACAGCAGAAAGGGTCCTGCTGAGATTGAACGTTGTTGCTGCTGGGAACATCAGTGAAGGCGTATGCAGCTTCACTGCCAGATGCCACTCCTGTATGTGTTTGCCAGCCCAGGGGTCACAGTGTTCAGCCTCTTTCGCCACTGAAGGTGTCCTCCTGCACCAGAGCTGCACTGGGGACTCACTCTGCACACTCCCCCTTTCCCCGGCCCCCAGCCGATACACTCAGCGGCAGCACTGGCTGTGAGCTGTGACAGAAACTGCTGCTGTTCTGAGGTGAAAAAGAAAAGCTGGCAGACAGGTCTACTGGCAGATGCTAGAAAGCAGTCCAGTGTCTCATCCTGAGGGGTCCAGAGCTTCAGCAGTGTATTTGGCCTTTATTATGAATTGTGGGCTTCAGAAGTTGGTCCTCACTGAGCAAAGTCTGGGCCAGTAAAGCCTCCTCCAACCTCATTTGAGTTGCTGAAATGTGTGAGATCAAGCATATCTGGATTTCTGTGCTGGTTGCAGATGTTTAGTGTTGTCATTATTACTTACCGTGTGCAAAGTGCCTTGTGCCTATTGATACAGATGAGTTGTGCTAAAAAGGTGAAGCCACATATTTAAGAAGAATTCAGAGCATGTGATATGGTATTATAAATCAGTACTGCTAACTCCAAGCATTCAAAGCTTATCATACAGGCAACCCCCCAAATTATCAGGTTTCCTTAAAAAATGGTGAAATTTTAACATGAAAAATGTCAGGGTTTTTTATTCACTTTCTCTTCTCCAACATTAGATTTGTCTCGCATTAGCTACACTTTGCATATGATAGGCAATTCCTTTTCCTTAAAATGAAAGCTGAGATCTATGATATGGGGAACTTGGCCTCACTGAAACTTGTGATAAGATTGCAAGAAAACAGGCATCAGTAAAAAAAATATATTAAAGAAGGAAGAAATATAAAGCCTGGCTGTTGCAGTTGTTATGCATCTGGTAGCTGATTGCTTTTCTCACTCACAGTTGGGAAACAGCCGTGAGGACAATTACAGCTACCTGGAGAAGACAGCCACAAGCAGGAACTGCATCTCACAGCTGGCACATATTAGCATGGTGGTCTGTGGGGGGAAGCAAGCTAGGGTGGCTTGCTGTGGCCTACGTTTCCAGACTGCTTATGGACTCAGCCTGCCACAGCAAAGACCAAGGGGTAGGACCCTTGTCTCTGCTCACCTGTAAAATCGGTCTTGGAAGCTGCCCCAAATCAGTCTTAGAAGCTTGAAAGCTCCCCAAAGAGAAGGTGTCTTGCAGTGTTCAGCTATGTGAGGATGTTGGAAGGTGGCTCGCCCCGAGGGTAATTTGACAGCTCTGGATGAGGATGCATTCTTTACTGCTGTGTGTATCCTGTAAGTAGGGCAGGTCTGCCCAAAGCATAGGAAAGAGAGAGTTGGAATCTGAACCTGAATCCAGAATTGGCTCTCTTTTGCTACCCTCTTAGCTTTCCAGGAAGCCACAGCCTCTAAAATATTCTGCGTTGAAAATCCAGGTCTGAGGTGCCATGCCTGCCTTCGTCTGGGCCCTCATTCTTCAAGGTTTCTTGTGAGCCATTGGGCATCAATCCTAAAGGCATCAGAGGGAGCTGGGGAAGTTCAGTACATAGTAACATCCTACTCTCCAGGGTCAGCTCAGCATTCTGCCTCTCTTTGGTGAAGAATTTAAGAAAATAGTTATTTGTGCATGCTTGTACTTTGCTACATAAGGTTTTCAGCAAATGCTTACATTTTGCTGAGTTGTGAAAGCATTCAGAGCACCAATCACTGAATGCCATATGAATAGGGATTTATATTTATCTTTTCTCAGTCTTTTTCTTACAAAAGATGCTATTCCAACCCATTAATTTGGATCTATTTTTTAATTTCCGAAGTAATGGGGCAGGTGATTTTTTTTTTCCTTTTCTTTTTTTTTTCCCCTCTGGACCTTTAATGAGATTCCTTGCCAAATCAGACAATGACTTATATTTATTTAATTGACATTAATTATACTCTGGGGATTTTTCTATCTGTTGTGCATCCACCCTAAATCTAGCTGTTAACTCTCTGGTCCATGCCATCAGACAAAGCAAAACAGCCTCTCTATACTTGCTATTGCGCCATGCTTCCCCAAGCAGGCACTTTTTACTATAGTGAAAGGTCTTGGTGCAGCTCAGTTCAGTCCACTCTGGAAGAGGCATAGTTTCAGCCAGAAACATATTTACAATGCCCATACTTCAGCAAGCACTTTAAGCTGGTATGAATCATTGTCCTCTTTCTCCCCTCCAACTGCTTCCTTCTCCTGTGATGAACCAGCTGAAGGAATCAACCTAGCTGATTTTGCTTAGTTTTGTTGGGAAGTTATATTTTATGTTTTTTGTAGAGAAGCCTTGTAGTCATTCATTTGGCACTTGTCGCATGTTCAGTGCAGCCACAGAAGTACGCTGATGGTATGCTGCAGCCTAATCCAGCCCACATGAAGTCCTTCTCAGCACAATGTTAATCAATAAGATGGAGGGTTTTGAATGCAAAACCTATGCCTGATCTCTTGAAATTTGAATGATGGATCTTAAGTTTGTCAGGTTTGCTTACTCTCCATGCCATGAGAGAACTGGAGACACTGCAGTCCACGTTCACTCAGGCCAAACTTCCATAACCAGCACTGCCAGCGTGAGTAGCTCCTTCCTCTTCACCTGCTTCCCATCTGCTCCTGCTCCCGTGTCATCCCTTCCTTAGTACTACTGGTCATTAGTGCTACTGTTTGTGCAGCCAGATGATGAACTGGGTGAATAAACTGCTCTCGTTTAGAGTATCCCAGGGAGAAAACCAAGTTATAGGTTCACCAGTTCACGTAGCCCCACATATAAGTGAGAGGTGACACGGGAGCAGGAATGAGCCGCCAGGGACAGAGGTGGGGGATGGAGACTGCTTAAGATGGGACTTGCCTCTAGAAGAAATGTTGGTGAAATAACAGTCAGTCAGTCAATCCTGATGGTTCAACAGGACAAACACATTGCACAGAATGGGGATTTCTCAGCTATGTATCTATACGGTGCTTGAACCAACAGTCCTACATGGAGAGTAGCATGCTGGGTGATATAGACTCATGCACGCAAATGCAAACAGTCTCTAAACCAGTGCAGGGTGCCCCTATTATTAGTACATGAAAGGAACTGACTATTAGAAAACAGTAGGAATCCCCATTCTGAACCTCACACTTGGCAAAATATCTCAAGTTAGGGATCGAAAGCCTCTAAGGAGCTTTGAAATCTTGGCCTAACACAGAGCCTCATTCCAGGCTGTATAATAACATAAAACCTTCTGTGAAAGGCACTAATTATTTCATGGCTCTTAAAGCTTCCTCATGATTTTTAAATAAGTTTTTTTTGCCTTCTATGGCACAAATCCTATTAATCACGGTATTAGTTATAATACCAGAGAAATGACGATAGGGCTATAACCCTCCAACTGCAAAACCACAGGAAATGTATCCAGAGATTTCAGAGCCGTAAGCGGAAGGATACCCTTCATTCACACTCTGGGAAACTGGACCCTGCCCTGGCTTTGAACCCTGTTAATTGGCCAAGTATGGATTTTTTTTTCTCAATAATTCTTTTTTTATTTTTTTCTCTCTATGAAAGAGAAATTCAGCATTTATTTAAATGGATTGAACTCAAGTCTAAGAACTGGACCCATTTCTCTGTCTTTTTATCACACTTTTTAGCTAAAAGCAGAGAGGAAAACCCTACCAGGCAAGAGTGTTTCTGGATGAAGTGATTAAGAAGGAAAAATCTGATTTACACAGACTCGAGGCTGTAAAGTCCTTTCTCACCACGTTCCAAATTTCAGTTTACTGTACTTTCTCCTTTGAAAACCCACATTTGGGAAACGCTCTATGCAGAAGAGTAAATCCCTGGGAGGAGATGTGAAAGGGCAGACACCTACAGCAAAACCCAACAGGAATCTATAGGTTGACCTTCCTGAAGAGTCAGTAATAGGGTCAGCAACGAGCAGTCAGGAACATACAGAATCCACTAGTGCTGGTAACTGCCTCAATTCTACCAAGCTGCACTAAGGACGTGGCTCTGTGTTTCAGTTTCCCCAGCAGAAAAAACAGCTTAAGAGGCTCCTGAATATGTCTGCTCTCACTTGCTGCTGCCTTTATAAAGTAATTTCACACTTTCCATTATGCCAAAGCAGTCTCTGGGGCTGCACCATAAACTAGATGATACAAAATGGTCCAAGTTAAAATGAGGAAGGATCTCTGAAAAACCTCAGGGTCTTGCCATTTTCGAGGTAGTTTAAGAGCAGTATTAGAGCTCCTTTGTGTGAATATGGTGTGCTGTATCCTACAGTAAGTAAAGGATTTAACAAGAAGGAATAGAATTTGCAGTACCTGCACACCTTTTATGCCTTCTTCAATTTGATGTCACTTTAATTGGCTTTAAATTTTTGATGAGATGACAAACATCAAAGGAAAGTCATTTGATTTACTCCTGTGTCTGTAAGAAAGTTGCGAAATATAAAATGGGTTACAAAGTCTGCTATGAACTTGGCAGATTGGACCAAATTATTTCTGCTATTCACAGGACCTATGCTTAGGCCTTCAAAATTAAGTAGGGAGCTGGAGCAACAGGTTCTTTTTCTCTCCCATTTCAGGGTATGTTTTACTCACCACCCAGATCTTCGTCAGCTGTTCATGAGTACCAGAAGTTCCTGCAAATATTGGCTGGCCCTGGATCATTTCAACAAATATACAGCCTGCACTCCTGCAAGAAACCCAAGGTATTAACTCATTCACGTACATGACATATATAATATGATTGTTGGGATGGGCACGGGAGAAAGGAAGAGAGATAATTGTTGGAATGGAAATTTAGAAATCTTGATTTGCAAATGAAGAAATCCTGATATAAGCTGTAAACCCTATATATTTTGCAGCTCAAGTCTGAAATACCGGTCTGATGTGTAGGTATCATATACTCACCTCATGTCATCTAGTGAGAGTGTGTGTGTGTGTGTGAAGCAAGGCAGGACATGGGGCATCTGTATATATGTAAATAAATACAGGCTTCAGTGAAGGCTGATATACCTCTGCGGTATGGTGGTAGGCAGGATGTAGCGTTATAAAAAAACCTACCGATTGTGGGAAGTCAGGAAGGTTTCCTTTGGGAGGGGCCATCTTATACATCCCTGGTCTTGCAGCACTGTTCTAAGCACTTGCAACTGGCCCTTGTTGCAAGTTGTATGTGGTATCGTTAACTTCATCCTACAGATTGAAGCACTTGAATTAAAAAGCTGACAAGTCAAATAGGACAGAAGCAGGCTAGAGATTTGTCACATTCACATCCGTCCAGGATTTTAGAAAAAAAATAAAGCAGTTAAAGTTCCATACAAGTCTATTCCCATCTCCTTTATCTCATGAGCACCATCCACTAAAAAAACCCCACACCCTTCACCAGCAAAACAAGAGAGGTGCCATCCTTGGAAAAGAAGCCCACTAAGCACCATCTTTTTTTCCAGCACCAGACAATTTGTTTCAGGTCTCTTTCAATTTATCCTGTTACAAACCCATCTAAAAAAGATGGTCGTGCCAGAAGCCTGTGGAATACTAGGGTGTTTTCCATGAGAAAAAGGTGCAAAATTGGAGTGATAACAGTAGGAAAGATAAACAGGGAACTACTACTACTACACAGTAATTGAAGGATGCATTAGATGCATAAAGAACACAGAGGTACTAACCACTAGAGCAATTTTTCCTTCAGAAACAAGTAGCTCTTCACTGGAAAACTGAAGGTAAGATTTCATAGCATAAAGAACTCTGTGACAACAGCAAGTTAAAGTATTCTTATTTTTATGCCATCCCCTGTTCTGCACTTGTGCCAAAGCAGCTTAAAGAAACCCACCAAACCCTGCAAAAAATGCTTAATTTTACTAAGGTGGATTAGTCCTGCTGGCAATAATGATGAGATAGTTGTGGTCAGCGTAGACCCTGATTTGCAAGTATTTCCATCTCTTATTGTATGGTGTAAAACTCTGCTCATTTCCTTTTTAATCTTTTTCCTCCAAACTTTTTCTAGGTTTCCTGTCTTTTCACTAAGCCCCACCCCAGCTTTTCAGGTTTCAGTCTCAATCTTCTTTGGTTATAGCAAATTTGAGTGCTTTAAGCTCAAATGTTGAAAACCCAGCTTTGTCTAACAGACTCTGAAAGTATTATTTTCACTTGCTGAGCAACAACTAGTAATCTCTTCTGGTCATCTGTACTGCTGTGTTACCCCTTGCACCTTGTTTTTGCAATACCGTAGATGCTTTTCCCACCTGGCTGTGGTCAGCTGAAGGCCTGACAGGCACCTCATCTGTGGTATTCATTTTGGTCATCCTTGCGCATCAGGTGATGCCAAGCCTGTTTGCAGATCCATATCTAATGCTGTTTTCACAAACATCTCTGCTGCACTTTGCCTTAGCTTCCTGTACCTTAACCTTGGGTCTTGTGAGCTTAGCTCCTTACCTGTCTAATATGCTCTTACAGGGTCCAGGCGTCATGAAACTTAACCCACTGCTTTTGTGACATGTATTTTTTTTGTGTTTCATAGCACTACCACGTCACTAGATATTATTTTGGAGCCCACTGATTCTACTGAGACCAGTGTCATACCAACCCGCTGTTTTCACAGCTGATGTACATGGCCAAATGGCTTACCCTATTTTGCAACCACAGGGGCTGCTGTAATACACTGATTCCATTGCACAAGTTTAACTGTATATGGTCAAAACAATTTAGGCACTCTTGATTTATAGGGAGAAGAGAATCAGCTCTATGTGTTTTTGGAGCAAATGATCTTGACATTCACCCACAAATTTGGGTTCTGATATCCTAGCTAGAAATGACCATTAGGCTGACAACAGCAGAAACTGCATATGGACTCACAGCCCCCAAATGAGACAGATGCAACTAGACCTTCTACAGAGATTCCTTCTAATGAACAGTGCTGGCTGTGCTGTTTCCTAAACTGAATTTAAGACACTGAGGATTTGGGAACTGGAGGTACGCAGCAGTTACTACGGAAAAGGGGCTAGTAACAGTGAAAGTGCCCTGTAAATGTGGTCCTTGTGACCTAACTGCTCTGCTGCAAAGGTCTAAGGCAACAGAGTTCACGGCAGACGGAAAACCAGATCTGCTATGGTTTCTGTTATTGTTGAGAAGGTTTGAAATCCAGACAGAGCAATAAATGGAAGTAAGAAATGGAAAGCTGTTTTTTTTCCTAGATTCAGCTAGCATTTGCTAAGAATTACTCATGAGCAAAGAGTTCAAAAATTCAAATCTAATGAAATAGCCTTTTCACTAATGGGCAAGCTGTCAGTTTGAGGAGAGGAACAACTTGTGGGTTGTTACAAATGCACCTTCTGGTAAAGGTCTCTTTTTGTATTCCTGGTTTATTCCCATTATCTCTGGAAGCCTTTAAACCTCAGTGTCTCTAATAAAGACAAAACTGTCAGAGCAACCACAACGGCTGGAAAGGAAGGGCTGTTCGCTTCCTGTAGTGAGACTCAGCTGTCCAGCTGCCTTTAATGCCTGCTTGATACTGTATTGATTCATCAGAGGCAATTACGTCTGTTTCTATCTCTGTGTGTTTCCAGATGAAATATGTTTTTCTTTACAAAAAAAGGCCAGAAGTAGCTAGAACAACTGACGTGTGGGCACCTCGCTTTTTTCCCAGGGATTTTTGTCTATCCGGTAAAGTAGGACTTCGGAAACTAGTGCTAGTCACCATATTAGCCTTTCAATAGAGGCCTCAACTTTCCTTCTGAGGTACGGGATTTACAGTTACTGCTCTGACAGCATTATGAGGATCCTTCTCTTAATGAGGATGATTCAAAAACATTTCGTTTTGAATATTTCCAAAGATTTAGATGTAGTATTGTTTCATTTTTCCCCTTTTCCTTCTTACCCCTCTGATATTCATTTCCAAGGTCCTCTTACCCCTTCAAGTCTACAAGTTTCTCAAAGGGTCTCAGTCCCAGATAGCTGCCTTGGGAAGAGCTAGGGCAGAGGGAGGGGTCTTTCAGGAAGAGGCCTAGACATGATGTTTCAGCATGTGCCAGATATGCATGTGAAGCAAGACAGTGACTGCTAAAGTAATAGGAGAGGTATAACTGGTTATAGGGATATTTAGTTCCAGTGAGTGTAAACAGAGCTGGTTCAGACAGCACGGTTGCATCTGCCTGCAATCCCTGGGGCAGGTTTGAACACTGAACTTACTCCTCAGCCTGCAGTGCTGCATCACACAGTGGAGAGACAACTTCATCAGGATTAAGATCTAAGATATCTCTGTGGCATCCCAGAGTTCCCTCTCCACAGTTTTTCTGGCATTGGGAGATTGCAATTTTATATTTAACCAGAAATATATCCTTTCTCTTGTTCCTCACTGAGCGTGGTCTGTACAGTGGAGCCCTTAGCCTGTCTCTCCCAGTTTGGCATAGTGGGGCAATGCGAGCCAGGCTGGGGAGAAGGCTGTAGTGGGCCTGGCAAGTCCATGTTAAATGACTGCACGGGAACTCCTATTCTGCATGAAACTACCTAGGAAGATTACTGGGGTTTTTTTGGTTTTTTTTTTTTTTTTGTAATCGAAGATTATACAAGGAAAGCCTGACTGAAGAGAAGATATGACTTAAGGCACTCATGATGTTAGCAGCTACTAGTGCTGCATGTGCATAAAGCACTTGGTGTTAAAAAAAAAAAAAAAAAAGTCTTTCTGATATGCAGTGTAATCTCCCTGAAATGTTAGTCTCCCTGAAATCCCTTAATTGAATCTTCTAAAGTCCTGAAGAGATAGTGAGGGAGAAAGAGAGAGAAAAAAGATACAGTGAGATTAAAGCAGCTTTTCTAGTTAGTCCAAGAGCGAGTGAGTCTCCTTCTATATCTCTTTCTTCATCTATTCAAGGCCTCATTCACTTCCCATGCGCCTCCCACTGACAGTATTGCTGCTCAAGCACACTATGCATGAATTGCCATAATGTTTTATTTTGTTATAATTGGTTTCTTTAAACCAAGGCTTTAACACCCACTGTCTCATGCCATTACCAAGGGCATTCTGACCTGCCTTCATGTAAATTGCAGCATCCAAAAGACATAGGGTTTTTTTTCTTTCTTCCCAATAGACAAGTAACATCTGTGTGAATTCACATTATTTCCTCATAGACAAAAATTGAACTTAAATGCAGTGTACATCAAGATAATAAATGACTCTTGTTAGAGGAAGTTACTGAATAGAGCTCGCTGAAGCACTCTCTATTCTCTCAGCGTGACATCTTTCTTTAGGGCAAACACTTTGAATGTTGTTATTATAAGGAGGCGTTATTACAAAGGTGCCTATAGTGTGAATGTAGTTCAGTGGAACCGAGAGTACTGTGCTGTTAGAGCTGGTCAGAGTGCTGGATGGGATCTTTGTATACTACTCCTAGGTTGCTATTCATTAGACTAGAGCACCGTTATATACTGGAGATGTTGGGTTTGCACAGGCAGAAAAGCCAGGCTTTCTGGGCGTAGCTGGGGCTTTGGACAGGGGTCAACTTTCAGGAAAAAAAAAAACAAACAGGCTTACAAACAGGCATCTGCCTAATACAAACCCTGCAATCTGCTAGGCAAGCATCTTCTTCAAACTCAGCAGACGTTCCTGAGAGACTGTCTGGAGAGGAGAGGTGACAGGTAGGTGGGGGAGAGAAGACAGGACTATTTAGACTGGCTTAGCAGCTGGAAGCCATTAGAATTTAGCAAGGTTTTTCTCCTTGGAGAAATCTTTAAGCAATTAAATTAGCAGCAGGCCTAGGGAAGTGAACAAACTAAAAACTTTTCCTGAGCTGCCCTCCAGACTTAGGCCATCAGAGTCTCCGATAAGCTGCAGATCTGTGGAGGGGGATACAGCCTGAGAAGACCTGGAGCTTTGCTGTTTGTAAACTTACCCAGCCCTCTTCTTGCACATTCTTCAGAGTGCTGCCCTCCCACCCTTTCCCAGCCTTTGACTCTACAGAGCAGTTAAGAAAAGGCCTGGTGTAACAGCCACAAGCAGAAAATTAACTGGTCTGAAGAAAGGGTAAAGCAGCAATACTATCTACAGATGTAAAATTGCCCAGAATAAGGGTGGTCTCCTGCAACTTCATGAGCTGTATGTTGTCTGTGAGTAAGTCAGGACTGTGTTGCTGGCAGCGGGCTCAGGCTTCAGCCAGAAGCGGATGAACCCTAGGGCCCAGCTACATAAGGACCAGTGGGACCCCTGTGAAGTCCTCACTCTCTCCTGCTTTCCGCCTGCTCTCAGAGACCCCCCTCCCCTGCTTGTTTCCTGTGATTCCCAGACACATTAAGATTTTGGAACAGAGCTCATAAGAAGGCTTTAACAGAACACAGCCCTTCTCCTGTATGAAATGCAGAGTGCATCTGGGATATGTTCTTTGAGAAGAAGGACAAAGTATCACAGAAATAATGAAAATCTCAGACACCTTTCTATCTCCAGACCCATTCAGAAACCCTTTAATGCCACCGTTTGTTACCAAGGCCAAAGTCATTGTTGGTGCAGTTGTGACTGGATCCATTGTTTCCTCACAAAACCATTGCTGTGGAGAGCTACCACTGACTCAGCCGACCACATAGATACAAAACAATTAATGCATTAAGCAAAGGTATTCTGTTGCAAGACCTGAAAATGCCTCATAAATGTTACCAAATGAAATGTACGTATCCCATAAATATTATCAGATGAGGTTTATATAAATCCATAGCTGAGATGTAGTGACATCATTCCCAAAAACTTCTATGAACCCAGCAGTACAAAACTCCCCACTGCTCACACATTTTCTGCTCACAGGTGTTAATTCCTCGACTTACAACTGTATCTACTGTAACTTGGTTGGCTTAATTTAATTCAGATAAAGATTATTTTTCCCAAGGGACCCCAGATGCTTTGAAATTGGTCACTACCAGATATCTAGATCAGAAGAATAATCTGTAGCTCTAAGCAACACATCAGGAGGATGGTACCAGAGTGTCACCACTTCAGAGGAGTATGTCTGTCTGGGGATGGACAGGCCTACCAAAAAAAAAAAAAAAAAAAAAAAAAAAAATCTGGGGTGTGAGAGCTGCTGTGGTGGAGCGTAGGGGCATTGGTGTCCAGCAACGTGAGCAGCAGCCTGCGTGCACAGGAGAGTTTTTTTGTGTGGGGGAGGGGAGGGCAAAAAAAAAAAAAAAAAAAAAAAAGACTGCTGTGTTAGGACAGTCCTTCTACCTGTACAAGGCATGATAATTGGAAACAGGACATTATTTTCTCTTGGATCTTTAAACACAAGCAATCCCAATGCAGTTTACAAGCAGTTGACAAAGAAAATGTGTCTGTAATATACCTCTGGGCAGATCAAATCAAGCAATGTGCTGTGTTTTGCAGGGCTTTACCATTTGTGACTGAAGCAGCCATCCCAAACCAATGCCAAGAAAGCCTTTTGGTTCAGCACATTGCTGTGGACTCTACATGTTACGTTATTTTCTGAAGAGAGAGGGGTTGATTCTTAATTCTCTTGAACCAGTTTTATGTGGCAGTAATTGCTCTTTTACTTAAATGAGGTTACTCCCTGCACCTATCAGTATAAAGGCAAGAAAGGCTGGACTGACCACAGAAATAGTTTCCTGAAGTTCAGTCAGAGGTTATGCTTCTATGCCTTAATTTGCTGTGGATGCAGTATCCAAACTGTGACTCACTAAAGTTGCCTAATTTGAGCTCACCAAGGCAACTGATGAGCAAGTTCTGGGGTTTCAGATCACGGTGAAGAATGTGTTGTTGGTGGATGTAAGCCAGGCCACGCAAAAGCTGGAACACGAAGAGCTAGAAAAAGCCAACAAAAAACTGAAATGATTTTGTGTGTCTTTGCATTGACACATTAACTCTGAACTTCAGGAGAACTCCTGGAACAAAGCAGAGAGAAAGCAAGTAAGAAAGCAGTAAAAATCCCAAAAATGAGTAGAGCTGGCTGAGGAAGAGAAAACTGTGGTGGGTATGACTGCCCTGCAGTTTTCTGAGGTTTTCAGGGTGGAATATTGGGCCTTGAGGGTAGTTATAGTGCAGTCCCTAAGTGCACATTTTGGAAATTTAACTTTTCTTTAGAAATGGACTATTGATTGCAGGAGCAAGCGCAACTTGCCAAAACACAGACCTGGCTTTCAGAACAGCAGATATTCTGATTTCAGTGTTCAAGACAAAGACATACAGCCAAGCAAAATGAAGGTTTAAGGAGCTGGAAGTTTTGCCCATTTGAGCCAGCTGACACCAGCAGAGGGAGTTCTGTGGCCGCTGTACGCAGCACCTCTTCCCAGTATGAGCTGGACCAGTGGACTGACTTACTTGACAATGTGAACTGTTATCTTCAAGCTGGGAGAAAACACAAAGACATGATTTGAACAGATACAGCAAATAAGGTATGATGAATGAAACAAGCAAGCAAGAAAGAAGAAAACAAGCAAGAAAGCAAGCAAAAAAGAAATATCTAACTCCCACCACCACTGCAAATAAACCTGGGGTAAAATTAGTTGGGCTGAAACAAAGTATGAAATTGGAGAGTGGATAGAAACAAAACACAGCAAAAGAAATTAGACTTCACTAGAGAAAAGATATTTTTCACCAGAAGCTTAATCTGAAGAGGAGGAAAAACAGTGACACCCATAGGTCATTTTTGTACCAGAAAAGCATCCCTGGAATATTCTGCATACTTGCATCATATTTGATAGGAATCACTCAGAGAGAAAAAACAAACATTTGCCAGAAAAAATGAGGCAAGCTAGATGACCCTCCTAAAGGAGCAGTAAATCATTTCGCAGTTCT